TATTCATGAGAGGACGTCTCCCTATTCACCCTAGTCAAACAGGGTAGCCGAAAGAAAGAACCGCACTCTAACTGAGATGGTGAATGCCATGTTAGACACTGCAGAACTTTCCAAGGAATGGTGGGGTGAGGCAATATTGACTGCATGTCATGTCCTGAATAGAATTCCTACTAAGCATAAGGAAGTAACACCATTCGAGGAATGGGAAAGGAAGAAATTAAATCTCTCTCACCTACGCACATGGGGCTGTTTGGCCAAGATAAATGTACCTATAGCCAAAAAGCGTAAACTTGGACCAAAGACCGTAGATTGTGTATTCTTTGGTTATGCTATCCACAATGTGGGAGATAGGTTCTTAATAGTAAATTCTGGAGTACCCGACATGCGTGTTGGTACAATTACTGAGTCTAGAGATGCCACATTTTTTGAGAATGAATTTCCTATGAAAAATGCACCTAGCACTTCTAGTCAAGAACCTATTTTATCCCCTGAGCACTTTGTGCCGATAAAACACATTGATCAAACGCTTGAGGAAAATCCTAAGGAGGATAACATTGTAGCAACTCGAAAGAGTAAGAGACAAAGGACTGCAAAGTCTTTTGGAGATGACTACATTGTATATCTTGTGGATGATACTTCAAGAACCATTGAAGAGGCATATTCATCTCCTGACGCTGACTATTGGAAGGAAGCGATACGCTGTGAGATGAACTCAATTATGTCTAATGGTACTTGGGAAGTCGTCGAGCGTATATATGGGTGCAAGCTTGTAGGATGCAAATGGGTTTTCAAGAAAAAGCTTAGGCCTGATGGTACAATTGAAAAGTACAAGGCAATGCTTGTGGCCAAGGGTTATACCCAAAAAGAAGGTGAGGATTTTTTCGACACTTATTCACCGGTTGCTCGCTTGACCACGATTCGAGTACTACTCGCTCTGGCAGCCTCTCATGGTCTACTCGTCCATCAAATGGATGTTAAGACAGCTTTCCTCAATGGAGAGTTGGAGGAGGAGATCTATATGGATCAATCAGATGGGTATGTACTAGAAGGTCAGGAGGGAATGATGTGCAAGCTGTTAAAGTCCTTGTATGGTCTCAAACAAGCGCCTAAGCAATGGCATGAGAAGTTTGACAATACACTTACATCTGCTGGCTTTGTTGTGAACGAAGCTGACAAATGTGTGTACTATCGCTATGGTGGGGGAGAGGGAGTAATCTTGTGTTTATATGTCGATGACATATTGATCTTTGGGACCAGCCTCAATGTGATTGAGGAGGTCAAGGACTTTCTATCCAAAAGCTTTGAAATGAAGGATTTGGGAGTGGCTGATGTTATTCTTAACATTAAACTACTGAGAGGAGATGAGGGTGGGATTACACTTGTGTAATCTCACTATGTGGACAAGGTCTTGAGTCGCTTTGGTTATAGTGACTGCAAGGCAGCTCCTACTCCTTATGATCCTAGTGTGCTATTAAGGAAAAACCGAAGAATAGCAAGGGATCAATTGAGATACTCCCAGATTATTGGTTCATTGATGTACTTAGCTAGTGCAACGAGGCCTGACATCTCATTTGCTGTGAGCAAGTTGAGCCGGTTTGTTTCAAATCCGGGAGATGATCATTGGCATGCTCTTGAAAGAGTAATGCGCTATCTAAAAGGGACAATGAGCTATGGAATTAACTACGCTGGGTACCCAAAAGTACTGGAGGGCTATAGTGATTCAAACTGGATATCTGATGCTGATGAGATAAAGGCCACAGGTGGGTATGTGTTCACACTTAGAGGGGGTGTTGTTTCCTAGAAGTCTTGCAAGCAGACCATCTTAACGAGGTCAACAATGGAAGCAGAACTCACAGCTTTAGATACTGCCACAGTTGAGGCCGAATGGCTTCGTGAGCTCCTGATGGACTTGCCGGTGGTTGAAAAACCAGTACCAGCAATCCTGATGAGCTGTGATAATCAAACAGTGATTATTAAAGTGAACAGTTTGAAGGACAAGATGAAGTCATCCAGGCATGTTAAAAGAAGACTGAAGTCTGTCAGAAAGCAGAAAAACTCCGGAGTGATAGCATTAGACTATGTCCAGATGGCTAAAAATCTGGCAGATCAGTTTACCAAGGGGCTACCACGTAATGTGATAGACTGTGCATCAAGGAAGATGGGTTTGAGACCCACTTAGAGTTGCACAATGGTGGAAACCTGTCCATTGTGATCGGAGATCCCGTGAATTTGGATGGCGAAACAAACTATTGTGTAACTGAGAGAAGAGACCCTAAAATGGGCTTATCTTCATGATGCACTTCTCTTCTAATCTGTATGGTAGGATGGTATACACCTTAATGTGATCCGAGTGGCTTTCCATAAAGCAGAGATGTTGGCCTACAGAACATCTTAGAAGGAACACACCTATATGAGTCTGATTGCTAGTCACAATCTATGAGATCTGGGTGATCTCTAGATACTCATGAAAATGCCAGGAGTATGACTTATACGCTCCAAACAGAGAGGATGCAAACGGCAGCCTAGTACCAGTTAACGGTTTGAGTGAAACCTGAATCACACAAGACTGACAATTCAAGGCATAGTCCATTGTTTAGTTGTGATCTGGTGTAGTTCTTTTCCTAGGTGGAAGTTCAACTTAACAGTCTCCACCGAAACACTGGTATAACAAACAGGATAAGAATCGAGAGCATTTCCTGTGAGCCATGAAATTTGGTGGGGATTGTTAGATTAATGGGCTAGGCCCAATTAAATCCTAATAAATTCCATTGGCCCACATTAAGTGTGTCGGTGACATGGGGCCGGGGGTATCGTGACTAGAGGCTTGGGTAGCCGCGGTCACCCACGTGGCCTGACCCCCTCGGGGGGGGGGGGGTCGGGCCCGAGGGTGACGTGGCCACCCCTCCCTCTGTCTCCCCGAGGGGTCGGGCCGCTCCCGTTTCGGCCCCGAGGGCTGGGGCGCCCCGACCCCCTGTGGTTTTGGCGCCACGTGTGTGGGTTAGGTGAGCACAGCGGGGCTCACCTAACCGCATTTATAACAGGTTGGACGAGCGCGCCACGCCGCATTTAATGCGGCGCGGCGCACGCTTATCCGGTCCGTGACCGGTCACGGTGTGTGACCGGTCACAGACCGGTCAGATCGCGGGTTAGGTGGCAACAGGCGGCCTGTCACACGCCTCGCCCCGTCCCGTCGGAATGATGAGAGCTTCCTGGCTCTCGTCCCTAGCCGGAGCCGGCGTGCTAACTCTTGGAGTTGGTATGTCAGTCCCGGTCAGATCCATTCCAGGCTTCAGCGCAAGCATGGCAAGGAAGTCGCTGGCCATTGAATGAAGGTTGAAATGGGCGTCCACCGGGAAAGCTGGCGAGGGGGGCAGGAGGCGTGTGCTCTGCTTGTCAGAGGTCACTTCCGGCTGTAGACTAGCCCTCATTGTAAAAAGCATGTTTCCTTTCTTAGGCAGCTGGAGGCCCTTGTGGTGACCCCTGACCAGATAAAAAGGAGGCCCAGGCCTAGGAGAGGAGAGGGGGAGGGAGAAAAAAGGGAAGAGGGGTTGGGACTCTAGCGAATGGGTTCTAGACCCTGAACTCTCGCTCGCTAGGAGAGGAGAGGGGGAGGGAGAAAAAAGGGAAGAGGGGTTGGGACTCTAGCGAATGGGTTCTAGACCCTGAACTCTCGCTCGCTCTCCGGCTCTCTGTATTCCTTCACGCACAGATCCACCAGAACACAGGAGTAGGGTGTTACGCTTCTCAGCGGCCCGAACCTGTCTACGTCGCCCGTGTCTTGTGCACTTCCTCTCTCGCGGACGTTCCTTAGATCGAGGGCGAAGAACCTCACTTAGCGCCCCCGGCCGAACCGGCAAAGGGGGGCCTGCGCGGTCTCCCGGTGAGGAGCCCCACGCTCCGTCAAAGTGCTATGGGTAATAATACCACCTTCGAAATCTAAGTGAAGAGGTCTCAACTTAAATACGGAGCTAGTCGAGAGTCTCTGTTGACCGGTTGAGATGGTGCGCGGACAACCAGGCGGGGCGAGGCGAGGCGAGGCAGACAGTTGCTGCTGCGCTCTCTCATTTTGTAACAGACGGTAATAAACACGGAGAATTGATTTCGTATCAATGAACGCGTCGGTTACGGAATTAAACGCCGTGAATTGATTTGATTCCGTCGGTTACGGAATTAAACGCCGTGAATTGATTTGATTCCGTCGGTTACGGAATTAAAGGCCGTGAATTGATTCCGTCGGTTACGGAATTAAATGCCGTGAATTGATTTGATTCCGTTGGTTACGGAATTAAACGCCGTGAATTGATTCTGTATTAACGAGCGCGTCGGTTACGAAATTAAACACCGCGGTTGATGACTCCGAACGTTACTCTCGCGCTCGCATATATATACTCCGCAGCGACCAGAACGACGACAAAGTTCTTCACGACTCTTGTACTTCGAGTTCCTCCTCCTCTGTTCCTGAGCTGCAGAATCCTTCCCCGGTTCTGTTCACCTGCACGCACAGGTGTACAGGACGAGCAGGTGCCTCCGGAACTCCGTCCGCTTGAGAACTTGCACGGGTAGACGGGCGATCAAGTTTTTAGATAGCGCTTCAAGCGCGACTGCTCCTGTTCTTCGCGACTACTACTGCTGCATCGACGCCTTCGTCAACATGTCGACGGAGATTGGAGACAAGGAGGTGAACGACATCAACGGAGGCAATACTGCCTCAAAATCCAGCGGTGGGACGTTCTTAGGGTATAGTTTCATTCTCCTGATTCTATTAGATGTTTCTTTGTTGATGTTCTTCGCAATGGCAGCATTGCGTTACTATGTAAATGTTGATGCGTATTTCATTTTAAGCATGCTCAAGTTGTATACATCAAGCATTATCACTAGATCTACTCATATTAAAAATGTCATGTTTATTGTCTTAATATTTTGGATTAGAATATGCCGAATTATGACCAAATTTCCAACAGACGTCGGCCGCATGTCACTTCGCTGACATCAAACACGAGCCGAACTGAGATCGATGCCCAATCAGAGGACGAGACCGGCGCCGTCATCCTCCTCCTCACGCTACCATCGCCGTGCCTTCCTCGTCCTCCTCCGGTGAACCGACTTCCCGAATCCTATAAATAGCCGGTGAAGCCCTCTCTTTTCCCCACATCATCCGAGCTCTACGAGCTCTCTCTTCTCTCTCCACCATGACCGGCCACCACTAAGTCCCGGCCGATCTCCTCCCATACAGGTCCACTTCTCGAATCCATGCACCACTAATCTCTCTTCACTCCGGCGAATCCATTTTGTCCATTTCCCCCTTCTCTCTCCCTCCAAACTAAGCCACCACCATTACCACCTTAGCCGGCCGAAGGTGAGCTAGTGTTGCCGCTGTTCCGGCCAACCCACCCTTCCTCTCTCCCAACCACCACCCTCCCCGGGTGTGCGTTGCTCGGGAACACGTTCCGCCACCGACGTCACCGTCCCCCATCCACTGGAGCACCGGCGTCCCTCTCTCCCTCTCCTCTCGTTTACTCGGCTGAAGAAGAAGAAGGAAGATACGGGAGGAAGAAGAAGAGAAAGAAAAAGAAAAGAAAACAAACACTGACAGGTGGGCCCCTGCACAGTAACTCTTCCTATTTTCCCTATTTAATTCAAATCCAATTCTTTAGAAGCCCATATCTCCTAAACCGTAGATCCAATTGCAATGAAACCTAGATCTAAATTCATCTAAATTCAAAAGCTATATTTTGATACCTAATTTGCTATTTTATAATTTTATTTGAATTTATTCAAATATCATTTGAATTTATATTTGCCTTTTTCAAATACTTTCTTTTACCCCAAAATACCTATTAGCCACTAAAATGCGGCCGGTTGGAACTTTACGCCTTCCATGGGGACGTTTGCGGTCTATTGGCCCTGACGTCGAACCGTTGGTTGTAAAGCCTGGCAAAACCCAAACCAAAGGTCGAAGTGCTGCTCCTGGCACCCTACGCCTCGCCGCGTACAACGGTCGGAGCTTCACTATTCCCTCGACCACCATAGCACGCCGCACAGTTAGCTTTCGGGCCCTGTGTGATTCTAACCGCTCTGCCGCCACTCACGGTTGTCGGAGTAACACTTCCACCTCGCTAAACCTGCACAAACCTCCCATCCCTCTAGCCGTTAGATTGTCTATTAATACCGGCTAGAGAAGATACCAAACCTAGTCGTCATGCTTTAGCGACGACTAGCGAACACCCAAACCCTAGCTGATATTTATCTTAGCTCGATATCGGCTTAGACAATTGAAGCCAGACCCCCACCAGCTATAATCTCAACCATTTACCCTCCAACTACCCATAGCCTATACATGAAATACGAGCCGATATGCTATCGTATTTCAGCATCGACTCGAGAACAACTAAATCCTAGCCATTCTTCTACCAAAGCCAACCTCGATAAATACTAGCCACATATCCACTTAACCAGTTAGATTATTCAGTATATCTCCTACTCTCCAAGAAACCAAAACCCACACATGAAATATAAGCGACATTAGTTGTTTAATCCCCTCTAGCCTACAACCCTTTAGAACCTCCACATATAATATTAGCTCAATAATCCCTATGTCCTATAAAAGAGATAGGCTATATCCTAAAACCAAGCCCTCTTTACCGTTTATCGTTTTCTCGTTATTTTATGACTTTTATTGAATTTGGTTCTTCGTCTTTCTTAGTAGAGTCTATTATCTTTTGGATGGCAACATGTGGTATTTCGAGAATCGGATAATCAGGTTGCCTATCTTGAATTTATTTGCGTTGGAGCAAGGCAAGTTATTATCTCTCTCCTTTGAGCATAATTATCCTATATTCTATATCTCCATTATCTCATGCATTAGTCATTCATGATTTCGAATGCGTAACCTGAACATAGCAAACCAGATATGCTAGCTTTGCTTAGCCCTGCCTAATTGGACTGCATAAAATATAATGAACTTAGATTGGAACAGTATGGTAGAAATGGTTGATTTCCAGGTGGCTAGTACTGTTCCAACCGACATAAAACTGCTAAGTACATGTGAAGAACATACGAGTACGACCGCAATTCTTGTATGGGCATAGACCTAGCTGATTAAGTTATCTAGCAAAGGTGGTACCTCTGTATAGTGGTTCTTCTTAAGTCCTCGCGCAGGAGGCAAATTTATGCCGCGAAGGGCAACTGTGATATTTACCGAGGCGCAGGTAAATATATGAGATGAATTGTGCACAAATTGTTTGTGAACCCTGATTGCGATGACATGGTGTCATAAAATCAGTTCTCTCTAAAGACCTCGGGAATGCCAGAACTCCTCTCGCTGCTGATAACGTTACGTTCAGAGCGCATGGGGACTAGAGTTCATGGAACAGGTACCAATGATGTTAGTAACCGAAAAGCTTTGCGATGACAAGGCTAATGTGTTTGGCACGTCATGGATTGCGAGTAAAGCGTACATCTACTGTTTCTTAAAACTATTCGAATAGCCGTGCTCGTGGTTATCGGGCAATGGGACTCACAATGGCATCTTGGTTAGAAACATAATTCCAGATTTTATTAAATACTGTTGCATTATAAACATTATAGACTTTCTACTTCTACATTCTCAGCTTTCTGCAATTAAACCTAGCTCTACACATACATTACCATTTCATGCATTCATTGTTGATTAATATAATAGCTTGCTGAGTACGTTGTACTCACCCTTGCTTTAACCCCCTTCTTTCAGAGTTAATTTGGAATTCTTGCCGAAGCCGGGAGTTCAATTATATAAGTTAGTCTTATATAAGTTAGTCTCTTCTCAACCTAATTCGCAAATATAGATTAGATAGATGGTTTAAGTCTATAGCCAAACATTAGGGTCAAGTCATTCTATAGCTTCTGTTGTAATAGTTAGCCACAACCTTGTAAATACCCTATTATATCACATAAAGAAATCTCCTTTGGAGCCTTGATCAAATGTATGCGATGAAGATCCAGATTGTTGAACCTATATCAATCTACTGATTCAGGACTTGATACAGTTAAACATGTCGGTTTCCGAATCATTAGTTCTGGGACCCGATAGTCTGGAATGTAATTTTTATGTTAGCATTTAAATATAGTCAATATGGATATTAAAGTATTGTTTTCACTAAAAAATATAGTAGTTCAAACATATCACAAGTTGAATATGTGATTTAAAAGGTTATAATTATTTTATTTATATTGTTCCTATAAATGCTAGTAAGAGGAGAAAGAGAAGAAAAGGAACCATGGAAGAGCTGGCTAGACCTGATATGTGGAGGTCCATTAATGGTTTTCTCCCCATAAAGATAATTTAAATTTCAATTATCATAAGGATAAAACTAAGAGAAAAGGATGAACGACGCACACCACATGGGGATAGGGAGGGCCGGATATTTTTCTTAAAAAAATAATTGATATGATGACCTAAAATAATGCGTTGCATGTTTAAGTCGAAACCGATAGTCAGGTGTTTTGTTTTTTATCATAATTTTGTACGATTCTTTTAACTTATGAGAGACCTGTATAGTGGCTTAGAAATATTTATAGGATGTTTAATGTATAAGTCTTTAACATTGTTTGGGTGGGGAGCGTGGAAAGAAGGTTTGGTATTGTCTTAAATAAAAATCTAATAACAACCTAAATGGTACGTCCATCGGTTTAAGTCGAAACCAATGATTAGATGTTTTGTTCTGAAATTTTTAAGATTTTTCTCTAATTTAGAAGTGTCACATAGTGTTTTAGAAACATTTATAAGGATGGCTAATGGGTTTTAATGCTGCATAGGATCGCGGTGGGAGTTTAGGATGTTTTTTTTTTGTAAGAAAAAGATATATCTAATAACCTAAAATAATGTAAACGTTACTCGAATGTTTTATTTTTTTAGATTTTCTCTAATTTAGTAGTCCTATATGGATGTTTAGGAATATCCCTTCTTTCTATAAAGTTAAGACCCAAAGCTGCCTCTTCAATTCGCCACGTCATCAACATTATATTAGCCGTTCGATCAATATGTACATCAGATATACACCATTGGATCCCTTATCCTCTTGCCCAGCATGCATGGTAATCACCTTGCTCCTTCCCATTCCCCTCCCTTAATCACATGCATTAATTTACAGTAGAAACAGCCAAATCAATTGAGCCAGGAGGTGCGATGGTTAATAAGATTCATGTGCCTCTTGCGATTCTCTTCCAAACCTTTTAATAAGCCCCTTTACAATCCCCACTATAACCAAGTCTCTTCCCCTTTGCATGAATCTTTTCATCGTATGTTGGATTCTATTTGGTAAGCCTGAATTTAACATTTATTTTAACCAGATTCTATTTGAGTACACATTATGATTTGAACCAAGCATGAGCACTATGAAAGTTTTGTCCATTGGTTTCTCTGAACTTCAAGAAAGAATCCCTATCCTATGCATTTATTGTTGTTTTAGTTTCTTAAGAAAAGATTCGTCATACTTGCAGCCAATACTTATATGTCCTATCACTAATTTATTTGAGTAGTTGGGAAGGATATAGAGGATTACAATATAGCTGTCCTGACATAGCGAGAAGCAGCTTAACTTGCTCGGTATGTATTTTGTTTTCAGGTTCAAACAATACAATCTAATTGTCCATACTAATATGCATATTTACATACGTTCTCAAATGTGCCTGCAGCGAAGCGCGGGGTTTCATCTAGTTTATATGATGTGTAATGAACTTATTAGGAGAGGCTAGAGGAAGAGCTAAATAGATCTAGTAGGTTAATGCTTTTAAGGCCTGTAATTTTTTTAATTTTAATTATTATGGAAATAAAAAAGGAAAAGAAAGGAAATGGAGGGATCGTACCTACATTGCTGTGAAGATGAATAATGCGTACGTTGTGGAGGCGTACGGTAGGGATGAAAACCGATCGAATACGGTCGGAAACTAGCTCTATCATATTTGTTTTCATATTTTTTCTCGGAATCGAAATCGGAATCGGAAACCCGGATACGAAAACGGAATCGAATATTATCGAATACAGATACGGAGCGAATACGAATCGAAATGAATACGGTAACGAATAATTATCAAAATATCAAGACCCCTCAAAATAAGCTTCTTAAAACGAGGAAGAGATGTAGCCATTAGTTTTCAAAAACAAAACAATAGTATTCTCAAGCTGTTGACTGAGTTTTCAGGGTGGTAGATGTCTAAGCTAATCTAATCTAGCAAGGCGATTTAGCCAATACCGGCATAAACCCTAAAACGAGAAGCAGCCGATAGAGCTAAATTGATATGCTAAGACTAGATTAACAGAGACATATGATAAATAGGTAGGCAAATATATCATCCAAACCAGAGCAATCCAAGAGGTCGAATGTACTGATGCAGCCTTGAACAACGCCGGCATAGACGATACAATTGCCTAGGCCGACGGAATATTGAACTTACCCCTTCGCCGGAGATCGAACACCGATGCAGCCCCGCATCAGGTGCCAAGTCCCGCCGGACGATAAAATAAAGTAGAAAAGGTAAAAGGGTGGCGATGCGCCGAATTGTATTGATCGTCGAGATAGATTACATAGACCCCGGGTGTACATATTTATACCCATGGGTTGATACAAGTCCTTGTTGGACAAGAAAGAAACTTTCCTAAAGATAAAAGGAAAAGATAAAGTCCTTATAACTAAACACACTTTCCTAAAGATAAAAGGAAACTAACAAACTATTCCTAATTAATAGATAACTTGCCATGCCGCATTCTCTTTGAACTCGGTCTCTTCTGGATAAGCTTCCTTTAGTAGATCAATTTCCTTAACCGAATATAGCAAGAATCCGACAACTGACGACTTGACAACTCTCATCGGCTAATCTCAGGACTTCGAAGCCGATGCTGACTCTAAGCCGATGACTACTTCGGGCTTTCCAAATTCCACTGTTAACAGTCATGTATCAGGTCATGGATGAAAAAACGCCGAAGGAAATTTGGGACAAGTTGGCAAGCCTGTATATGTCCAAGTCGCTGACGAGTAAGTTGTATCTCAAACAATAGCTGTATGGTTTGCAGATGCAAGAGGAGTCAGATCTTAGGAAGCACGTGGACGTCTTCAATCAGTTGGTTGTGGATCTAAGTAAGTTAGATGTGAAACTGGATGATGAAGACAAGGCCATAATTCTTCTGTGCTCGCTTCCACCGTCGTATGAACATGTGGTGACTACCCTGATGCACGGCAAGGATACTATCAAAACTGAGGAGATAATTTCGTCGTTGCTTGCACGAGACTTGAGAAGATCAAAGAAAAACGAGGCAATGGAGGCTTCTCAGGCTGAGAGTTTGCTGGTCAAGGCAAAGCATGATCATGAAGCGGGGGTGTTGAAGAGCAAGGAGAAGGGGGCACGGTGCTATAAGTGTCATGAGTTTGGACATATAAGGAGGAATTGTCCGTTACTGAAGAAGAGGAAAGATGGCATTGCAAGTTTAGCAGCTCGTGGTGATGATTCAGATAGCAGTAGTCATGAGATTCTTACAGTGTCTAACGAGAAGTCTGGAGAAGCGTGGATGTTGGACTCAGCTAGTTCCTATCACGTGACATCGGAGCGGGAGTAGTTCTCTTCATACAAATCTGGTGATTTTGGTGTTGTTTACTTGGGCGATGACACGAGTTATCGTGTTGTTGGAATGGGCGATGTCAAGTTCAAGATGTGAGACACGTGCCGGGACTAAGGAAGAGTTTGATTTCGCTTGGGAGCCTACATGAGATAGGTTGGTTGTATCAGGTGGATTCTGATAGGAAGACCATGAATATCATGAAGGACGGCAAGACTGTTATGATTGGTGAGAGGACAAGCTCATGTTTGTACAAGTTACAAGGGAGTGCTGTTGCAGGTGGAGTCATGGAAGATGGGTATGCTGGTGTTGCTGTGCACGATCCTGAAGGCGGCGAGCCTGGCGTAGGCTCGTCGGGCGGCTCGGCGTGAGCTGCGGCAGAACCAACTCAAGTCCTGGTACACGAAGGTTCGAGCTAGTAACAGATTCGGATTGGCGTGGCATATTCGCCAAGGTGGAGTTTGTTAGAGTTTGTGTCGAATATGTGTACGTAGTCGGTTACAGTTTAGGACTTGGAGTTGTAATAGGTATTAGGACTAGAGTATGAGTTGGACTCTATCCTAGGTTCTCTCATAAATAGAGGAGCGTGCCTGTTGTAACCGCATAGCGACTTAGCATAGCGAGAGGGAGCGGCTGCCGGCGGCGACCGGCCGTTAGTCGTTGTAACTCTGATACGCTGTATATGCTGGATCGGGGAGGAGCGCCCGTAATCAGTACCCCGGAGATGTAGGCCTTGGCTGAACTCCGTTACCAAATATCGTGTCTCGGTGTCGTCATCGTTTTGGATCTCCTATGGTGTTTTCTTCCGCGGTTTGGTTTCCGGTGTGATTTCGGGGCCGGTTTTATAACACCACGCATGCCACACGCTCGCACGCGCACGCACGAGGACGAACGACGAACGAATGCACGGACGACACCTCCAGCTTCCCGCCTCCGTATTTCCTTCGTTTCTCAACTAGAAGGCTCAAGACTGGAGGCAAAAGAAGCGCAATTTCAACCTATTTCACCTCCTCAAATCCGCCCCTACTCCCACTAACTCAATCGTCGTCACCGGAGGAAAATTCCCCGAAACTCTAATACCGGCGCCATTGATTGAGCTCCAAAATTCATCGCATACATCGCCAATCCTCTGAAATTGAAGGTAAAATTGGATTCTCCATGCCGAGTACTCCATTTCCCCTCTCATTACACATCCAATCCATCGCCGGAATGCTGCCGGCGCTGCCTCCCGGCGTCGCCGCTCTGTTCGGCCGCAGCCAGCCGCATGGCGCGCCGCCGCTCCAGGGCGCCCTAGCTTTGGCCGTCGCCACCCTGGGACTCCTCTCGCCTCACTAAACCTCACCAGGCCGCCTCCCGCACCGGAGTTTGCCGGAGTCGCCGCCACCATGGCCGCCTCCGCCTCCTAT